AGCTACCCCTCCACTAAAGCTGACCGCACGGCGCTGCCTTCGAGCCTTCCTCCGGTTAAGGCTGGATGCGTGGTTGCTGCGTTCCCGGCTTTCGTCGTCGCTGGAGGCTTTCTCCTTGGCTGTGCTATGTAGTTGAACCAACTGGAGCAGCTGATCAGGCTCTAGTAGGCAGCTGATCGATGGCGCCGACTTCAGCAGTGACTGCTCTATCTTTTGCAAAACTCCCAGCTTCCAAAGAGCTTCGCTAATAGCATCCACCAGACGCTGAAATCTGCCTTGATGCTCCGGGGCGCACTTATAATCTTGTGAATGAAGTTTTTTGGTGACAAACGCCTTGAGGAAGGTAAACAGTGCGTGCAGCGAAGCAGAGCGGCAGATGAATCCATAGCGGGTGCGCTGGCTGTGAACAGCGGTTGGTCGCGGTGTCAAGGCAACGTCGTCATCGACGTACTGTTCATCATCTTCCTCGTCATTCTCGTCATCTTCCCTTTTCCTCTGAGTGTTCGGCTCAAGCTGTTCCCAACGTAGAAAAACCAATAGGAAGATGTCCTCCAGCAGAGAGCATAAGGCGCCCAATTGATGCAGTTGCCTTAACTGCATGGAGAGCTGTACCAGCTTGGTCTTCGTCGTTTGTTCGCCTTGGTCGAGAACCACATTGTACACATGACAGAGAGCGGTGTAGTAGCTTAGAATCTCGACTTCCTGCTGGTGGTGACACTTTAGTGCAGGGGTCAGCTGTTGCCATTTGTAAGTATCCTCCAGTAAACGGTGTAGCTCTTGGTGCTCGAAAGTAATGCCATTTTCATGGATCAAAGGCAGCACGCCCGGCGCCCGCAGAAGCGCATCCACTCTTAGCGTTTTGCTTACCTCCCGCGGACGCAGGAAATTGAGCAAAGTAGACAGGCGTTGAAAGTCAGCATAGAAAAAGCGGTGCACTTCCTGCAATTCCTCAGGAACAGCGCTGACATCAAATTCCGCTAGGAATTTTTCCAGGCATCCAAGCTCGTCCAAAGTTTGTGTGCCGAGAGCAAATTCATTGGCGAGTCGCAGGATAAGCAGGTTGTTCCTCAATGTGGCATCCTGGAAACACTGAAAGTCCTTCAGATGTTGGCACACGTTGGCCACAAAGTGCTCCCTTTGGTTGAGAGCCAGCCACAGCACCAAAAGTTTAGTGGGCGCCGCCTCACTAAACTGCGCCTGCATGTTCCGTTGCTGCTCATGCAGCAGATCATCCAGAAGTTCTCCATCGCTGCGCGCTAACATTGCCAGCATTAGGTGCTCACTGGTTACGGAATCAACCACAAGACGAGTCATCAATTTCTGACGAAGTGTAGCCGCCTCCAAAACGCTGGCTGGAAAATTGGCCAGCACACAAAGAGAACGCGGCGATGAAACATCGCTATCTAGAAGCTGTCGAAGCAAGGTGGAAATTATTTGGCCAATGTGCAGCTTGGACCGTTCGTGTAGAAACTGCAGCAATTGCAGAGCGGGATAGGGCGACGCCTGAAGCACAGTTAGCAGGGCGTTCTGATGGGAATGAATGGGCCCGGATAATTTGCCATGCAGCCACTGGATAAAGATCTGTAAAAAGTTCATATCAAAGTAAGTGGGTGTCTGCTGGTTTTCTCAGCTCACCTCAAAGATCTGCCGCTGATCCTTGGGCAACAAATTTAGAAGCTGCTGCATATTCTCCTCCTGCTGGTCGTCCATTGCGGGACACCTGTGGCTCCTCGGGAGTGCAACTTTCTTCTGAGCTCGGCTGATTTACTGGTACTAATGCGAGTTCATTGTTCGGACTTCGCTGTTCTGATTTTGGTCTCTCTGCCAAGTGATCTTCCGCTGCTGATTATCTGGATCTATTGTTACAGCTCGCCTTTTGTTTCCACTGCTGACCGACTAGCAGCTGTTCTGGCTTCAGGCTTCCACTGGTGACTGATAAGGGAGGCCTGCATATTATCTCGCAGAGCTTGAAGTCGATCAATTAATCCGACTCCGTCGATCTCCGGAGCAGTCGAATGCAAAAACAAAGAATTTAGGTGGCTTACGGTTGCCTAGCCAGTGATGAGAACAAACCGATAGCAATCCGAAAATCGAAGTGGAGTTGGCTAGATTTTGCGGAAAACGGGCTAGAAAAGCAGGTGGGGAAAAGCATATTAAAAATAAGGGTTTTCTTTAGTAAATAAAATGTTTACGTAGAATAGCCGAAATTTGGTGTTGATTTGGATTAATTTGCTGAATATGATTTTGTTAGACACTTTAATTATACCGAACAAAATCAAGCTTAAGTCAATGAAATAAAGTATTTTAGCAATGCAAAACGTAAAAACAAATAATTTAGAATCCATATAGATGTGGAAAGATTACCTAGATTTTACGGTAATCTATTTTCAACCATTCAAAGATACGCATCACTGAACGACCATTTTTCGCGAACAGCTCATCTCTATCCGATGTGCACTGTATTCAAATTTGGCGCCAAACAAAATCTCACCCCCTAAAGGCTTTAATTGGATTAGACCAAGTCCACGGCAGTCGGTTCTCGCTTTCTAACTAGTTAGATTTCGTCATCGCAGGGAACAGCATGGGCCTGAAATTCCAAAGTAAGCTTCCAAGTATTGTAAACAACTGCATCTGGCGGGTTTGTCCTTGCAGGGATCCTGGTTTTGGCGGGGATTGTAATAGGATTTCTCTCCATCATTGTTGTCCTGGCCGGCACTCTGCTGAAGAACTCCGTACCCAATGTCTTGGCACCAGAGGAGCGGCACTTTGCATTTGACTATGTGATTGGTGAGTGGTTAGTGTGGATATATCTAGAAGTTACATTATTATCTAACTTATGTGGTATAAATTGTGTAATTTGCATCGCATGCAGTGGGTGCTGGAACTGGAGGAAGCACACTCACCTCGCTGCTGGCCAAGAACAGCAATGGGAGTGTTCTGCTCATCGAGGCCGGTGGTCAGTTCGGCCTCCTAAGTCGGATTCCTTTGCTAACCACCTTTCAACAGAAAGGCATCAATGACTGGTCGTTCCTTTCTGTGCCACAGAAACACTCCTCCAAAGGTCTCATCGAACGGAGGCAGTGCCTCCCGAGGGGCAAAGGACTGGGTGGATCCGCCAATCTAAACTACATGCTGCACTTCGATGGTCACGGACCGGATTTCGAATCCTGGCGGGATCTTCACAATCTTAGCGATTGGAGCTGGGCCCAAATGAGATCCTTCATGTCAGCCGCCAAGCCCAAGAACCCAGATATGCTCGAAATTCCCCGTCACTACTCCAAATTAACTGAAGCATTGGACGAAGCGCAGGCGCAGTTAGCCCACAAGGATTGGATCTTTCGACGCTCTTTGTATAATATAAGGAATGGCATGCGTCATTCTGTGGTACAACAGTTCCTTAACCGGGTAATCCATCACTCCAATCTGCGCCTGCTGCCCGATGCTTTGGTGAAACGGATTCAACTTTCCCCAAGCCCGTTCCTCCAAGCCACCTCGATTCTCGTGGGGATTAAGGACGAGGAGAACAGGGAGAAAGAATTCAGCATTGAGATTAGAAGAGAGTTAGTCCTGTGCGCCGGAGCGTACCAAACTCCTCAGCTCCTGATGGCATCTGGAATCGGAGACGTATCCACGCTGAAGAAAATGGGTATTCCCGTTCAGCATAGTTTGCCTTTGGTGGGCCAAAACCTGCACGACCACTTTAATCTACCACTTTTCGTATCAATGGGAGTCACTGGGCCCACACTGAACCAAAATAACCTCTTGAATCCCATGACCTTGATTAACTATCTCAGCTCGGGCTCTGGACCCTTGGGAAACTTTGGAGTACTGGGAAATGTGGCCAGCTATGGAGGATCACAGCCCTACGGCATTACCTTCTTTGGAGCTGGTGCCATCGACGAGTCTGCTCTGATGTCAATATCAAATTTCAAGGGCCCAGCATTCCGGGCGCTATTTCCACGCTATTACAATGCCTCCCAGGAGGGATTCGTGGTCATTTCAAGCTGCCTGCAGCCAAAGTCGCGCGGATCTGTGGGACTCCTTAACCGACACATGCGGAGAAATCCCCTGATAGATCCCAACTATCTTAGCAGCAAAGAGGATGTAGCCTGCACCATCTCCGCCATTCGAAATGCGGTCGAGGTAAGTTGTTCAATATTTCTTTAAGCCCGTTGTTGAGTTAGGTTCCATTTCAGCTGGTCAACTCGACTGCCTTTGCTCCACTGCATCCACGCATCCATTGGCCGCGCGTGCAGGAGTGCTCCAACTTCGGTCCCTTCGAGCGGGATTTCTTCAACAACCGTCCATCGGATAACTACTTGGAGTGTCTGATGCGGCACGTTGGCTTGGGATCCCATCATCCGGGTGGAACGTGCGCCCTCGGCACCGTCGTGGACTCGCAGTTAAGGTAAAAGTATTCCCGCTTGCACATAAATGTAAGCATTGATAAAATGAAACATTTTCTTCGCAGGCTACAAGGGGTATCCAATGTGCGGGTAGTGGATGCTAGCGGTAGGTCCTAATTATTTCCACTTCATTCCACTCATAATTTAAATTTCATCATAATCGCAAATAATGAAAGTTAGTGATTCACATGCAAATTGTCTAAACTTATTAATAATTACATTTTTGGACTATTTTTACAAGTTCTGCCCCGTCCGATCTCGGGAAACCCCAACTCAGTGGTGGTGGCCATCGCGTTGAGAGCCGCCTCTTGGATTCTGAAGAGCGAACTGCAGGCCGGCGATTCGAAATGAATGAAATTCTCTGGGAGATTGATGCAAATGCGTTCAAGTTGAGGGACAACCGCACTGAGCGAAACCAGGAGTTAACATTTACAGCATCAATGTAGTTAAGTACTTTTTTAAAAAATGTTTTAAAGAATTCAATAATACTTTACTAACATGTCTTAAAATAAATTTCATACTTTAAGATATTATGTGTGTTGTACTACCAAACTTAAAAAATTGCTCTTTTATATAATCTTTCATTTCTTCGCCCTAAAATACTTTGTCGAATGTTCTGTTTTTTTTTAGTGCTTCGATAATAGCTCCCATCGATTTGCCGGTGATCTTGCACTTGATCCCACATCCCACTCCGAACCTCACGACCGATCTCCTGGCTCTCTGCCAGGTGGTTCTGTGAATGACTATATACGTGGTAAGCCTCGTGTGGGCGCATGGCTCCCTATCAGTTCTTGTGCAACATCAGTATAAATTAGGCGTTACACTTCCGGCTCCGGCGGTGGGCAATGCCGATCCGTGGTGCAACCTCCGGGATTTGGCTGTGATTGGTGCCGAGATCGAGATTGAGGTGCGACGCCAGTGCTCTTGGCGATTTTTTGAAAGATCAGTTTGCGTACTGGGTGACAGTGACATAATTGTCTACAAGGGGATCTGTGAGGATCCCAGTGGGAATTGTGCCAGTGCCAAGTGGAGCGATGATCAATGGAACGTTCCCGGAACTGAGAGACGGAGGTGTAGTAATTCTCCCGACCGCCGACTTAACTAAAGATAGTCGCAGCCCCGTGCCCCTCCAAAACTAAATTACCCCACAATTGATAATTGAGCGGAATTGAATTGAATCACAGCCGCCTAAGCAGAGGCACCCAAATCTGGGCTCAGTGAGCCACCGACCGACCTGAGAGTCGGACATCCATCCATCCCATCCAGCGGCCGGAACAGACCACAAACGTAGCTGGAAACCATGTCGAACATCGAGGAGGTGCTGGGCGAGCTGCAGCGCTTCGCCTGGCCAGACTATGTGGCCTTCGTTTCGATGTTCCTGCTCTGCATCGGCATCGGCATATACTTTGGGTTCATGAACAAGTCCGTATCCGAGGACGATTACATGTTGGGAGGGCGAAAGATGTTGGTCATTCCCATCGCCTTCTCATTGGTGGCCAGCTTTGTGTCCGGGATCACGCTGCTTGGCCTTCCCACGGAGGTGTACTCCTATGGCATCCAGTACCTTTACGTATCCTGCGGCGTCATCGGCATGGGCGTGGTTATGGGTGTCTTCTATCTCCCCGTATTTCACGATCTAAACATCACCTCCACATACGAGGTGAGTTTTATTTAAGGACATTATAATAATGGCCAAGTTATTTTTTGTATTATATCTGGTCAGTATCTGGAGGTTCGCTTCGATCGGAGGTTACGCCTTTACGGATCCGTGATGTTTGCCATAATGAACGTGAGTATATGCCAGAGATGGCGAGACCATTATTCACTTATCTGCTACTGCTTTTGTTCGGGGATAAATTATTTACCTAAATAGTTTCTATACACTTGAACTTTATTGATGACCCATTAATCCTACAGGTGGCCTATCTGCCCATTGTAATCTATGTTCCGGCGTTAGCCTTCAACCAGGTGACGGGAATTGGAGTACACACGATCACGCCGATCGTGTGCATCATCTGCGTCTTTTACACGAGTCTGGGCGGATTGAAGGCAGTGGTCTGGACGGATGTGGTGCAAGCCATATCCATGCTGGGTGCACTATGCCTGGTGGCAATAAAGGGCACCCGCGACATTGGAGGAGCCGGAGTGGTTCTGGAGCGGGCTTGGAACAGTGATCGCCTGGAGGTACCAGAGTAAGTCTATAATAGTTCATGTTGTCAAATTGGGAATCCTTTTGTGCTTTTGTTTCATACCTATAGCCTCAGCATCGATCCAACTGTGCGCCACACGTTCTGGTGCCTGTTTTTCGGAGGGATCGTCTACTGGACGCAGACCAACGCTGTATCACAAAATATGATCCAAAGGTATCTGTCACTTCCGTCGCTCGGCGATGCCAGGAAGGCGCTCTGCATCTTCTGCGCCGGTGTGCTTATCCTAATGGCGCTCTGTGGCTACAATGGTCTGCTGATCTACGCCACTTACCAGAACTGTGATCCCCTGACCACCAAGGTAAGGTCAGTCATCAGTCCCCTGCTTTAACCAATGGAGTATCCGTTCGATTCCAGCTGGCAAAGGCCCGAGATCAGCTCCTGCCTCTCTTTGTGATGAAGACTCTGGGTGAGCTTCCGGGCATGACCGGCCTCTTCATTGCCGGCGTCTTCAGTGCCGCTCTGAGTTCCCTCTCCACCTGCCTCAACTCCATGTCCGCAGTGGTGCTGGAGGACTTCGTTAAGCCGTACGTGAAGAAGCCGCTCTCCAGCTCCGCAATCAACTGGATCATGCGGCTGGTGGTCGTCGGAGTAGGGGTTCTCTGCGTGTGCCTGGTCTACGTGGTGGAGCACATGGGCACTGTCCTCCAGCTGACCATGAGTCTGGAGGCGATCACGAACGGTCCACTGTTTGGCATCTTTACTATCGGTCTCTTCTTGCCTTGGATCAATGGAAATGTGATATCATATAACCCAATGGATTTTGCGGATCTATATCTCATTCATCCTTTTTCAGAGCGCCTTGGTGGGCGGAATTATGGGAGTAATAGCCATGTCCTGGGTGAGTCTTAATGCACAGTGGGCCATCGCCTCTGGAGCCATTACTTACAACACGAAGCCGCTAAACGTGGAGCAGTGCGACTACAGCTTTAATATGACCACCAGTCTGGCCAACACAACTCATCTGGGAGCGTCTGCAGAGTAAGAACGAAATATCCACATACTAGAGCACTTCCTATCACTCTCCAAACCTACAGGGACATTTTTCCGCTCTATCGCATCTCGTACATGTGGTACACCACTTTTGGTGCCTCCATTACGATAATCGTGGCACTGCTGGGCACCTTTGTATTTGGCAAAAACAATCCCAACAAAGTGGATCCAGTGCTACTCACGCCCTGCATACGAAAGTTCTTTGCTTTTAGCTCAGAGAAGCACATGGTGAGTGAAATGGAACTTGCCGAATAGTTCACTCATATCATATCATACAGGATGCCTACAGGCCCGACATTCCACTGCAGCACAAGCTCCGTAACGACGAGGTGGCCTTATGATCAAGCGAACCGAATCATAGTTGGCTACAGCTGAATCTAAAGCTGGGTAAACGTTTCCATTTTAACCCAACCGATTTCGATCCATATTGCTATGTTAGAAGTTCAAAATATATAACTAAATTTTTTGATTTTTTATAAGCAAGCACTTGGATTTCTTAATGATATTTTTAAAGTTAGGCAAACAGGTTTAATGTCTTGAGGCCTCATAAACTACCCACTAATAATTTCATGTTTTTGTTATTAACTTTCTTCTTCACTCAAAACTGGCTTCTTAATAAAATATGTATATAAATGTATATTCATTTCAAGAGTTAGCAACAATACATAAATATGAATAACACGATTTTACGTACAATACACAAAAAGAGCGGTTCCCGAACTACATCCTACTTCTGCTGGACCTTGCTGAGCAGGATTACGCGTTCACCCTCAGTGAGGTGTTCATAAAAAGTGGGAAAGTGTTCGTTTTGCGTGAAGGTAGTAAGGAACTTCTGCAGGTTGTCGGCTATGTCGCCCTGGTAGTTGGTCTCCTTAAGCAGCTCCTGCAACAGTTGTTCGTCATCGGCGTTATCCTCGTCTGCCTCGAACAGATCGGAGATGTAACGCGGCTTGGACGAATTCGCATCCTCATCATCGACGTCCTCTTCGCTGTCCGTAAGAGGTTCGTCGGCCTTGCTCTCTTGAAAGTGCTGGTACTCAGAGATCAAAACCTTAAAGATCTTGACGAGCGCCGGAATTGTTACCCACTTCTGGGTTGTAGCCGCCACGGAGCGAGTACGTCTGCGCGTATCGGTGGGGTCGTCCACCAATTCTTTGAATGTTATTGTGGTCAAACGGTTGTCCTGAGTGGCCACACCATATTCAAACAGCTTGCACAGAGCCATGGTGGTGACCTGTAGAAATCAAAAGGTAAAAAAGGAAAGTTTGGAATTTCAAGTTCACTTACCTTTCGCTCATAGTTGCCAAAAAAGGAGTTCTGGCGGGAGAGCCAGTTGGTGAGAACAAACTGCATTGCTGGCTCTCCGTTGGGTCCGGGAACGGTGGAAAGAAAGTTGAGCACGGCGTCCATTTGTGTTAGGAACAAATGAGCAAAGATTAAAACAAGATTCATGATTACTTTCAGGCACTCGAGGTTCTGCATTTTGCTTATCACAGCCTTCAGGAGCATGTCCACATTTTGTCCGAGCATGCTTCCCATCTTGGTGATAATAGTGATGACGAGGCGTCCAATTTGGCCAGCCGCCGTCATTTCGCTGTTCATCGGATTCAGTAGTACAGTGGCCACAACCTGCATGATGCAGTTGATGCCCTCGCCGTTCTTGTAGCTGCAGATTTGCTCCGGGGAGACATTAATAAAGCTGCGCAGGCACTCTCCGCCGGCTACCATGACAGCATGGTCGTCCGTGTGTAAAACGCAGTTTATTATCGCAGGAAAGGCTGTCTCTAGCAGGGTACTGTTCAGCGGAGGCTCCGTGTAGCGGACGATTGTGTTGAGGACGTCTAAGGCAATATCTTGCTTTTCCGTGGAAGCCGCCCCTGTCAACCCCAGGATGCTCACGATAGTTGGAATAAACTTCTCCTGTAGCGGTTCTAGGCACTCCTTGCGTTGACAAAGAGCTTTGATAAGATCCTGGACAGTTTCGAGCACATAAGGATCTTCAGTGTATTTTAGGAATACAGCAATGGCCAAGGGCGTAATCTTTGCCTGGCTAGCAAAAGCAAACTCAGCATCGAACTGAAGTTAAAGATAATTTGGTTAGATATCCAGACAATTAATGCATTTTAATCACTTACTTTAACCATAAAAGTCAGGGCTTCCATAAGCAGGGCTAAAACTGTTGCCCTACAGCCCGGCACTAAAGCCATAATTCCCTCTAGAAAACCCGGCAGTATTGAAACCAACAAGGTTCGCTTCTCTCCTTCGATTGTTTCGTTCGCCTGCAGGAATCCATTCAGGGTGCGCACTGCGCTGATTCTTAGGATGTGTGACTTCTCCGGAGAGAGGCTGCATAGCGTAACATCAAGGATCTCGGTCAACATTTGTGGATTGTATAGGTCCGACTTAGAGTAGATGCTCAAAGTCCACAGGGCACGACCAACAAGTGGCGGAGATTCTTGGTGCACAAGCAAGTTTCGAACAATGGTCAAGTAGTTGAGGAGGTCAAACGTAGAGTCGCCGCCAAGGATGACATCGCGGAAAGCGTGAACGGCATCCATGCAGGCCTCCTGTATCTTCCACCAGTTGGGATTGTTGGCTGCTTTTTCTGCCTCGGCAACACTAAAGTGTCTGCCCAATGCCTCTTGCAATGGCTGAATCGCGTTGGCTCCGAATTCGTCGTTAATAGCCTAGAAAGATATATTAATGTGATGATGACGTCTGGAGGAAAGTGTTTTCTCACTCACCAGGAGGACATCGCGGCCGCACATGCGCACCGTGAGCTCCACACCTCCATCATCCTCATCATCCACAAACTTCTCCGGATCATCTTGCCAGTCCTCCAACTGCTCCTCGCTCAGCTGAATGTAAACAATGGTTATGTATATAAGGTCGGCCAGCACATTTTTGATGCTGCCGCGTAGCTTGTTGCACGCCAGTATGCAATTGATGAACTCAAGGATCTGGATGATCAGCGTTTGGAAATTGGTCTGCTCGTCATCCTCCTCACTGTCGCCGCTAGCCAGGGGATTTGTCTCAGTCTGGTTCACCGACACTTTAACGTAAGTCTCGGCTATTTGGGTGAGTAGCTGCCAAACTATAGGCAGAACACGGTCCATAAAGGGGTTGATGTACTTTGGCATCTCGTTGACCAAATGGGTGAACACTAAAGAAGATAATCAAGTTTAGTTTACGTTCAGGAAAGACGTAATAAAGCCCACCCTTAATGATTTCCGAGCGAAGAAGGAAACTGGAACCGGCACCGCTGTTCATGCTCAGGTAATGCATAAGCTTGTCCATGAAATTTGTCAAAATGGAGCTCATCATGGTGCTCTGCTCATCTTTGTTGGTGATCAGAGTTGCAATGGAAGCGAAAAGTGGCTTCAGGATGCGGATAGCCGATACTCTTGTTTTGATAGAGTAGTTCTGCTCCGAGTCAAAGATGCGATAGACTTCGGGTATGACTACTGGACCAAGTTCTTTGATCTGCTCCACGTCGTAGCTGAAATCCTGCAGTACCTGCATGGCACCGTGTATGGAGTCCTCGTTGCCGCCCAGACATTTGACAATTATATCGAACAGCTCCGCCCAACCATGTGGATAATCCGTGGCAGCTATGGTGGAGATGGTATGCGCGACCGAGGAGCGTATTTTGGAGTTGGGATCGTACAGTCCGTTGGGCAGAATGTTACGTATGGTTCGCTTTGCCTGTTCGCTGGCCATGCAGCCGTTGGCTTTTCCTTTGACATCTTCGTCGTCCGTCCAGTGGTTCTCCACGTAGCGAGTGAGCATTACGATCGCGATTTGACGAAGTGGCAGCTCGTGCGCCTGGTTCATAATGATCTCGGACAGGTAAACGCCATAGCCTGCAAATTAATGAGATGGTTAAAATGTGGCTACATGTGAACCGCGCCCAAGCCACACCACTCTGGCTGCCCGCCAAATCACCTTCTGTGTACTCCAGCTGCTTAGTCCTTTTCTCCGCCTGCTGCAGGATTCTTGTGTCCGAGCTGAGGAGGTTCTGCAGCTCCTCGATGATAGCTTGCTTCACGGAGTCCCCGCAGTCGTTTTGGAATTGCAGCGACATTCTGCAGCAGTGGTTCGAAATAAATTAATTCGCAATGTCAAATTTCGCACAAAAGAAGCCGGCGCGGCGCTATCACATGTCGTCAACATGCGTTTCGCAACACTGCTTCGTGCAAATCTAGTGACGACAATGTTTTGATTGGCGAGTAATCGATTTTTAAACAGTATTCTTAGCTATTTTCAAAAAGTGATAAGCCTGCTAAGTAAAAACATTTTTACGAATTTTTCTCTTTCAAATCTTTTTCCATAAACATTTTATTTATTTTATAAATATTTTTATGTTGGTTAACAATTAATTTAATTAACAATTCGTTCAACAGAACATTCTTAACTAATAGCAATCCTATGTTTACTAATGGTATGTACAAGTAGATTGGTAAAGATTTATCACTTTATAGCATGGAATCAATTAACTACATTTGTAGTTCTTCGATTTTGGCCACCAGTTTTGGCTTCGTTGACGACTTGGGCATTGTAACATCGAAGTGGTGCTGCAGAATAAACTGAAGCTGGGCGGCCGTGCAACTCGCCAGAGCTTCCTCCTTGATTAGGCCCTTTACGAATTCGTATTCCTTGAGGTTCTCATCGTCGATCTTGACCATTTTAGGAGCGCTCGCTCCTGTTGTGGTGGACTTTGCTGCTCGCTTTTTGGGAGGTTCCGCTTCCGCAGCGAACATCTCATAATCTGGCAGAAGCTTTTCAATGCGCTTGTCCTGCTGTGAGGTGTCCAGCAGATTATCAAGGCCATTGGTATCCGTCGAAAAGTCCAGGGAAAGGGCCAGAAGATTTGCCTGCAGGGCGTCCAGACTTGGGTCGTTGATGAGATTGGGCTGGTAGTCAACGCGCAGCTTCTTGATGATCTTTTGGAAAAACTCGACTTTCTTGTCGTTAGCAGTGTTTTCCGTATTGTTCCAGTCCTGCATATCTATGTGTCGGATGTGCTTGGCCTCCGGCAAGTAGACAATCTTGAATCCATCACCGCAGAGCAGTGAGCGATAGCTCTTCTCCTCCTCTTTATCAGGCGCCTCTACTGGTACAAGAGCCACATAGCGCGGTATGGACTTGCGCTTACACATGAACAGGCATATGACAATCTTGTCCCGCGCCAAGCATCGCTCCCACAAAGCCCGGAATAAACGCTTCGATCCGATGATGCTCTGATCGTCGGGATACATGAAGTTCGAGGGCTTGCTGTAGCTCACTTCTGGAAGGGAGGATCGGTGCTTGAAGCCCAGCAGCATCATTTGAGGTTTGTGCAGATTGCGCACCCTGTTCAACAGATCCGTGCTGATGCGCAGGTTCTTCTCGCCCACGTTGCAACTATACCAACCGCCCGTTACCTTAATCTGATACTCGTGCTCGATATCCTGCGACCCATCGTCCTTCTGCTTTTGCA